CTACAGAAGTGAAAGGAGGAAAAGCTAGGTTTTTCTCTGTTTTCTTGGTACATATAATTTTTATAGCTCATCATGTCCAGAAGAGACAGTATTCTTTATTTTCTCAGATGTTTTCTGACCTCCAGATACAGTATCCTTCACTTTCTCAGCTGTTTTCTGCACTTTCTGCTCCATCATCTCAGCAGCCGATTTCGCGGTTTCTTCTACTGCCTCTTTGCTCTTTTCAAAACTCTTCTGAGTAGCCTCCTTCATCCTCTCTCCAGCACCTCCATTAGCCTTGCCATCATCCCTGCTCCTAAAACTGTCCATTTTTATTTCAAAAAGATTAACTTCTCAACTCATTTTCAAAATAACTACTTTGGCATCGTACCATGAAAAAAGAGAGAACAACCCCATCAACGTAGAGTTAGCACAGGCGGATCAGACTTATTATTTGTTACAATTTTTTGTGATTTTTTACGCATAAATTTATGTATCATATCGAAAGTACAAGGTTCAGATAAACCCGAACGCTATAAGGCTAATGTACACGACTAGTGAACCAATCTTGGGAGTAAAGCATGATGCATTCTTCGGTTCTTCCTAAACATTAGGTTCACCGACTACAGTGATAATCGTCCAATGAAGCTAAGCATACAGCAGAAGATAAAACACGTATGTATCAATCAGTGGCGAAACTAGGAATTTTTCCAAGGATATTCAAATTTGAAAGAAGTGAAAAAATATTTCCGACAAAGGGTGTTCAATATGTGTTATATATCTCTAAAACGTAATATTTTATCTATATACACAGTGCAACAAGGATGGTTAATGAGACCATGTTGCTTCGTCACTGGTATAAATATAAGAAATCGGAGTATCTAAGGATTTGACTGATTGTTCGCATAATATTTCAGGTTCTCTATTTCACTCTCTAAACAGGGTTGGTTTAAGTGTTTAACCTTTCTCTAAACTGTTGCATAAAATGATCAATAACGTTCACAACCCTATTGGTCCTGCATAATATAGAGAACTACCTCGTACCATAAAAGAACAACTAAAAAAGGCAAGCTCGGTGCACGAAATATTCAGTATTCACATAATGCAAGCATCAGTGGTTGGTTCCATGGCTCGAACCCATGACCTATAGGTCACACGGAGACAACTTTACCGTTGCTCCAACGCAACCATAAAAGAACAACTAAATCATTCAAATATACCAAAGAAAAGAAAGAAGGAAAAATGGAGAATAGAACTTACTCTACATTTGGAGGAAAAAACTTAAGCTGGAATTGATTGATATAAGACTTAGCCATATCCCAAGAACGCCAAGAAGATGTAACCAACATAGAATAGGCTTCTTCTAGCATCTGTGTGGGAGATTGATCTTTTTGTTTGTCTTTGACGTTATTGTTCTGATAATGAGCAGCATCACTAGCTGTGTGAATAATTCCAAAGGAAAATATGATAAGACAAAAAAGTATAACTACACTTAGTTTTCTAATAAATTCCATGTTTTTTTAGTTGTTTCCCCAATTTGGAAAAGATGAAAACCTTTTGAAGGTGAAGTGGTTATTGTGTTAATGGAGATATTGAGTTTTTGTAGGTAATTGGGTGTGTGGAAGTAATGGAGATTCTACAAGAAAGGAAAATGAGAGGTTCAAGCATGGATTAGTACTCACGTTCGCACATTTGTCAATAGTTCCCAAACGAGAAAGAGTAGCAAAAATAGCAAACAGTTTTTCATTCTACTTATTTAATTTATTTTTTCTACACATGTTTTACAAAACATTAAGAGAAATATATATTTTTAGCCGCTCTAAAAAATAATAGCCTACAAAATATATTATTTTTGTATATATGTGTATTATATACATATTTTATAAATTTTTGGACTAACGGATGCAATTAGTTTTGGCCGGTCACTTTTGTATTTTGCCTTTAAACTAATTGGACGGTCAAGAGGTCACATCTAGAATTCTTACGCATGAGTTCAAATCATGGTGATTGTTCAATTAAATAGTTAAGATGTGTATTTGCAGAAATAGATATCATACACTAATTAAGATACTTTTTTTGCAGACTTTCTAAAGCTGAGATTAGATTTGTGACACCTTTACTTTAACCAAGGATAACAGAAAAATTATGTTAATGTAGAACTTCATTCACTTCTTTTCGATGAATTAAGGCAAAATACATAGTTTACTCATCCACCTTGCATCCAAATCCTAGTTACACACCTGTTGATCACGGGTTTAACGTTACACACCAAATCTTTCAAAAGTATGTCAATGACACGCTACTTTTGACTAGCCTCTCGGACGTATGAAACACGAACAGTGCGGCGCGTGAAAAGTTAATTTTTGCCTCACATGACAAATTACAACGGCTAATTACTGGAATTGGGCCCATTTTCTTAATCCTACAACCCACTTCTTCTTCTCTCTATATTAAAATCTATTTGGCAACCATTTTCAGAAAAATCTAACCCCCATCTTAACCTTCAACATCTAATATTTTCACGCTCGTTATATTTATTAAATTAAAGTGCAATTCATAAAGTAAGATAATTATTCTTCTGTCAATTCTCGTATTAGGGTTCATATTGAATAGAGAATTCGGGTCCATTTTGTCGATGTGGAGATGCAACTGAACTAGTAATTTCATGGAGCACAGACAACCCTGGTCGTCGATTCTTCGACTGTAAAAATTACGAGGTAAGCTTAGATTGTTATAATCGTTATTTCAAGATTTTATAAGCTTCATTTTAATTTATTTTTGACTTTGCAGAAAGATAAGAAAACTGGGTGTTAGTATTTCGCATGGTTTGATCCCTCGACTCATGAACACTTGAAGCCAGTGATTTTGGATCTACTTAAGAAGAAGAAGCAGTTTGAAGGGCATTTGTAGGAATCCAAAAAATAGAGGAATTGTATGAGACTCTTCTTCTTCTTCTTCTTCTTCTTCTTCTTCTTCTTCTTCTGATTAATCATCCTTAAAGCCATTGTATTTGGTAGTTTCGAGCACTGTTGTATAGTGGAATGATATTCCCCTGTATTGGGTGTTCATGTATTTGGATCATTGAAGTTGTTGTTGTCTATGAGGGTTATCCCCTATTTTATTAGAAATGTATTCAAGCTTTGTGTTATGTTCCTATTTAGCTCATTGAAGTTGTTGGTCTTCTCTTATATTATGTTCCTATCCTATTTAGATCATTGAAGTTGTTGGTCTTCTCTTATGTTATGTTCCTATTTAGCTCATTGAAGTTGTTGGTCTTCTCTTATGTTATGTTCCTATTTAGCTTTGGTAACCAAATATGGGTAATGCAGCTTTTATATAACCAAAGTATACCAGTATAAAAAGAAGACCAAAATATACCTTATTCCACAGAACATACCACTTTACAAAATATAGCACTTGGTTGTCCATAGCAACACTTTACAAAATATAATACTTTGTTGTCCATAGCAACACTTAACAAAACATAAAGCTTAAACTACAACCAAAGTCTTCATTTCTTTTTCTACTTCTTCGTTGGTTGAAATGATGAACTAGATTGACTAAGATTGTGTTGTGATGTTGTAGCTCTTTGAAGTTGTCTTGTGCTTATGGGGGTTTCTGCCCATCCACCTCAAGTCGGCACTTCTTGTTTGGTAAGCACATTTCTCCCCTGAAGTTGTAGACCTCTTAGTCTTAGTTTCTGTGCTAATGACTGAAAAGTTGGTATTTCACCAACTTATCTCTTCTTGATACTTAGGATTTTGGATGATTTTGTTGAGAAACTAAGGCATTTATTGAGGTTTATTGGCATATTTCAGGTATCAAGTGATTTAGAAGAAATACGGAAGAAACCAAGTCAAAATGTGCTAAATTGAGAAAAAATGACTGCTGCCATATAATGCTCTTCACGATCGCGAACATTGACATGCGATCGGGGAAGGCCAGGAAATAATACATCGCGAACGCAGAGCAAAATCTGCGAACACGAAGAAGAGGCCGGTCAACTACTCCCAAGTGCTCTACGCGAATGCGTGATCTGGTCTGCGATCGCAATGCTTTACAACATAACTCTTCGCGACCGCAGGCCTCTTTTCGGGATCGCGATTGACAAATCTAGGCAGTTTTGGAATTTTACGATTTTGATCCCAAACCATTTAATACACGACCTAGCTCATTTGTAAGATTATCTTTTGGCTTATTTTTCACTCCATAGACTAGAGAAGACAAGTTTTGGAAGCTAGGGTTCTTGCACACACACTTGGGTTTGAAGCTTTCGGTTGAGAATTTCTTACTCATTTATATTCATTTCTTCATTTTCTTGCTTTGTATTGAATATCTAAGTGTGTAGTATTTTTTCCAACACTTGAGTCTTGTTTATAGAAATATTTATGTTTAAAGTGTGGATTAAATATCTTGTTGTACTTATATATTGAATGATTTTTAGTTATATTGAAGTGAGTTATTGTTTCTTTAATTATTCTTGTTTTTTAATGTTTCCAAAATGATTAGCTAACCCTAAGACTCGCCTATTAACTTCGAATTAATTTTGGGAAAGATAATTTGGGGTTGAAAAAGATTAATTAACAAGAACTTGAGGCTTTAACCCTCACTTTATAGATTCTACCTAGGGATAGGATTGAACTACCTGTAGCCATATTCGGGTGTGCTTAATCTCTTAATTATTTTAGGGATAATTCAATTAGGAAGTCTTGTTAGTCTTCGAAAGGAGCTAATCTAGAATTATTACCCTAGACTAATTAACATAAACTCGCTCATATTTGTAAAGTCGTAAAATACATTGGATCATTACTTGAGTATAATTCCCAATGCATCCATGCTTGTAGCCATTGATCATGTTATTTTCTTTCTAGGTTAGTTTATATTTTTGCATTTAGCTATAATATTTTCACAACCAAATTCTAAGTGTTTGGCATTGCATAACAAGTGATAATTCTCTTACATTCCTAATTGCCTACATATTATTCTCTGTGGGATTCGACCCCGACTCATAGTTGGGTAAGTTATATTGCATGCGACCGTGTCCATTTACTTTTTAGTAGTGGATTTGGACATCATCAAAATTGGCACCGTTGTCGGGGAACAATTTGGCGTAATTTGGGTTGTTTCAGAAGTAAGCGTAAGTGCTTTGGTCCAAACTTGTGAATATTTGTGTAATTATTTTCTCATCCTTGTTTATCTTCCTATTTTTTTCTTGTTTACTCTCTTAGTTTTTTTAAAAAAATGGCATCATATAATGAAAATTGGTCGGATGGTAGTTGTTCATACTTTAATGACCCTTGTCCTTATTGTGGAGGACCACACTCATGGCAAAATTATTTAAATTCTCCCGGAGGTGGATTGTGCACACAATCTCAAACCATGAGTGGAGTATTTGTGATAAGTGTGGTCGTCAAAATGGTCATTGGGATAATTGTGCATATTTGTCCTTCCCTTCCCTAAGCCCCCTCTATGATGATTCTACCTTTTGTGATGATAAGTATATGGACATAGAAATGGAAGAAATTGAGCATGGTCAAAATGGAGAGTTCAAGCTCATGTTAGAATGACTACTTGAAGGAGAAAACAAAGAGCAAGGTGCCTTGGAGGAGCTTTTAGAAAATAGTCTCCAAAATTACTTGGCTCTTGAATGGATGCACTCACAAATAGGAGAAATGCTTGAAGCTTTAGATGCCCAAAAAGCCTCGAAAGTGAATGAAAGCCAAAAACCCTCATTAGATGTGGAAGCCGAAAATCCTTCCTTGGCACTTGATCAAAACCAAGAAGAACTCTCAAATGCTCAAAATGAGAAAATGATGCTCATGATGGAGTCCATTCTTGAAAATGAGGAGAAGCACCACTTGGCACTCGAAGACTTGAAACAAGGCTTGACTCAAAATGATAATGATATCCGCATCTTGAAAAAGCAAATGGAATCATTGATTGAGGCTCATTATGCCCATCAATTTGAAAGTGTGGAAAGAGATCAAGAAGAGTCCAACTCCGAGGAAGAAAGTGAGCTTTACTTTGAGGAATCAAGAATTGAACATCCGCCAACCGACTTTATACTTGTCAATGATGCCGAGAAAAATATAGAATTAGAGTCAACCGGTGTAATTAAAAATATGGTTGAGATTGACTCTAGTCCGGGAAAAAAAAGGATATCAAAATCCGGGAAGAATTATAATTTGGAGGTTTGATGTCACATTCCAAGCATTTTTCAACATTGGAATTGTATGGTGATATGAGAATTGAATTACACGAGTCAATAAGGGATTGCGAGGAGGAAAGACAAAGGCCATACATTTTACAGTTTGAAGGTACAAGGAAGCAAAATGACATTCCTCACATGAAAGCCAAGAAGTGCAAAATAAAGAAGTTAATGCTTGGCTTGATCATCTAACTTACCATCCCCCATCGCTCGTGGACACAAACTTAATTCCAAGTTAGGTGCCCAATTCATATCATCCAAGTGGCAAGAAAAGTGATAAAATTGATCCGCGTCGTGCCACGACATTAAATGCGGCACTTGGTAGGAGGCAACCTATCGTTTTCAAAATTTGTAGTCGTTTTCTTTTTGAA